TACCAAAAAAAAACTGATTAAAAAATGGACAGAGGACCTGAATAGACATTTCTCCAAAAAGGACATATAGATTACATATAGACATATAAAACTGTGCTCAACATCATTAATCATCAGGGAAATGCCAATTAAAACCACAATGAGATATCATCTAACACAGAATGGCCAACATCAATAAATCAGCAAACAACAAGTGTTGGAGACGATGTAGAGAAAACGGAACCTCTATGCATTTTTGCTGAGATTGTAAATTGGTGAAGCACTAAGGAAAACAGTATGGAGGTCTTTCAAAAAATTTAAACTACAACTACCTTATGACCCAGCAATTCCACTTTTAGGTATTTATCTGAAGAAATCCAAAACACTAACTCAATAAGATATATATATTCCTATATTCACTGTGGCAAAATTTACAGTAGCCAAGATATGGAAGCAATCTAAGGGTCCATTGATAGACAAATGCATAAAGAAATCTGGTACACATACACAATGGAATAATACTCGGACAAAAAAAGAAATGAAATCTTGCCATCTACAACAACATGGATAGACCTAGAACAAATACCATATGATTTTACTTATATAATTTACTTCTATAAGTCACTGATCTTGAGCAAGTCACTTAACATAAAAAGATCAGTCACCATTTTCTATAAATAGGATAACACAGGTCACTCCGCCCAGGGGATTCCCTGAGACTCTGTCTCTCCCAACTTGTGGGCCCACCCAAGCTGCTTTCAGTGATTTGTTCCCTACAAACTGGCTATCTTGGCTCCTGCTGTAAACTTTCATAAAATCTCTCAAAGGCTCACAAAACCCAAAAGCAGCATCTGGCCTAGGCGGGCCCCGTACCTCTTGCTGAGCATCCCCAAGATTCACACCCGTGGCAGCCAGGCTCAGTTTCTGATTTTGCCCCTCGAGGCACCTATAAGTTCAGCAAGGGTGGCAGTCATATGTGGTTGCTTGGTGACCCTTAACAGATGGCCCTGGAGGTACACAGGCTGCAGCTAAACTTGGCCTGCAGCTGGAACTTTCTGTGATCTGCGCCAAGGGGCTCCACAGCACACCTACTACATAAAGCCACTCTACTAAGACTGAGAGACTTAGGAGCCCCACCTAATACATGGAAACAAACACAGGGAGGCAAACAAAATGGAGAGACAAAGAAACATATCCCATATGAAAGAACAGAACAAAGCTCCAGAAAAAGAACTCAACAAAATGAAGATAAGCAATCCACCAGATGCAGAGTTCGAAACACTGGTTATAAGGATACGCTATGAACTTATGGGAGGACTGGGTGAACTCAGAGAGAACTTTAACAAAGAGATAAAAAAAAAAAGCATAAAAATGGAAATGCAAAACATAAAAGGGAGCCAGTCAGAAATGAAGACTACAATATCTGAGATGAAGAGTACATTAGAGTGGATGAAATGGAGGATCGAATCGGCAACATAGAGGATGAGGTAGCAGAGACACCCAATCAGAACAGCAACAAGAGAAAAGAATCTAAAAAAATGAAGATAGTTTAAGAAGCCTCTGGGACAACATCAAGTGTAACAACATTCACATCATACAGATACCAAAAGGAGAAGAGAGAGAACAAGGAATTGAAAACCTATTTCGATAAATAATAACAGAAAACTTTCCTAACCTGGTGAAAGATATAGACATATAACCCCAGAAAGTTCAGAGTGTCCCAAACAAGATGAGCCAAAAAGAGGCCCACATCAAGACACATCAATTAAAATACCAAAGGTGAAATTCAAAGAGAGAATCTTAAAAACAAAAAATAAAAGCAATTAGTTACCTTCAAGGGACTGCCTTAAGACTGTCAGCCGATTTCTCAACAGAAACTTGACAGGTCAGAAAACTTGGCACAAAATAAGCAAAGTGATCAAACCCAGGACCTACAACTGAGATTTCTCTACCCACAAAGCTATCATTTAGAGTTGAAGAACAGATAAAGAGTTTCCCAAACAAGAAAAAGCTAAAGGAGTTCATCACTGCCAAGCCAGTATTACAGAAAATGTTGGAGGGACAGAAGAAGAAAGAAGAAAGAAAAGAAGAAAGAAGAAGAAAGAAGAAGAAAGAAGAAGAAAGAAGAAGAAGAAGAAAGAAGAAGAAGAAGAAGAAGAAGAAGAAGAAGAAGAAGAAGAAGAAGAAGAAGAAGAAGAAGAAGAAGAAGAAGAAGAAGAAGAAGAAGAAGAAGAACTGTTATATTCCTGGTGCATAGAAGGGCTACCAGGCAGCCAATTCATTGCTATGTAGTACATTTTGGGGGAAGGGATAAAGAAAAGGGTGAATAGGGTTATATTAGAACACATTTAAAAAAAGAGAGAGAGGAAGAAGATGGAGGAGGAGGAGGAAGAGGAGGAGGAGGAGGAGGAAGAGGAAGAAGATGACGACAACATATATATATATGTCTAAATAAAGAATGGTAATAACTACATATCTATCAATGAGTATTTCAAATGAAAAATAATTAAATGCTCTAATCATAAGATAGGGTGGCTGAATGAACAAGAAAACAAGACCCTTACATATGCTGCCTATAAGAGACTCACTTCAGATTAAAAGATACACACATGCACACACACACACTCACTAAAAGTAAAAGAATGGAAAAAATATTTCATGATGGGCCTAGAGGGTATTGTGCTGAGTGGAGTAAGATAGAGGAAGACAAATGCCATACAATCGCACATGTATGTGGAATCTAAAGGACAAAATAAACAACAATAAAATACAGAAATAAACATAGATACAGAGAACATTTTGAAGATTACCAGAGAGAGGGGATTAAGGGGGATTGGTAAAAAAGGGGATGGGATTAAGAAGCACAAATTGCTAGTTATAAAATAGTTACAGAGATACAAAGTATAGAATAAAAAATATAGCCAATAATATTGTAATAACTATGTACAATGTCAGAAGAGTACTAGATTTATTGAGGTCATCACTTTGTGAGTTATATAGATGTCTAATTGCTATGTTGTATACCTGAAACTAACATAGTATTATATGCCAACTATACCCGAAAAATAAAAATTATTGTTTAAAAAAAAGAGTGCTAAATGGAAAGAAAGAAAACAGATATCTTAACAATACTTATTCACCCAAAAAACATAGGACATTTGCAAACTATTATAATGAATAATCTTGACGTCTTGGATATTGAATATCAAATAATTTTACCTGAGGCACTGAGAATTTCTTTAAATGGTACAATAATATATCAGATCAAGAAACCAGCCCCAGAGTTTTGTTTTCTCTCTACTGATCTTTATAGTACTAATGAAACCTTTTTAATACTTAGATGGTATTACTTTAAAAAAAAAATCATACTGGGATGTTAAATGTAATTAAATCAATCCAGATATAGTATAATGTGAAAAAAATGCTTTAACAAACTTTTCTAAAAACACACATATAGAGGTACTGATGTGGAAACTTTCATTATTATTCTGTATTTCTTTGTTGTTTGAAATTTTAAAAAAATATATAATTTGCACAAATATTAAATATTTTTTAAAAGTTTAAATTTAGGAAAGAAAATAAAAGAGCTAAAGAAAGAAATTAAAGTCTCAATGTATCAGATCTGACTATGTGGTAATAAAAGAACCAATACATTTCTAAAATAGCTAATTAACTGTGTAATCATGACAGTGTTTTTCTTAATAATTAAGTAACCCAGAAACTTTCTGTCAACACATATGAGCAAACAATTACAACAGTCCCATTGTCTTGCTGTAGCTCTGCATTTAATGTACATTCTTATACAAAAATGCTGGTGAAAATCCAATTTCAAAGATTTAAAAGCCATGTGAATAAAATGTATATACTATTGTGAAATAACTGAATTTTCAAATAGCACACCAAGTTTGAGGTTACAAAACAGCAAAACACTCTTAAATAAAGACCTATGTAAAAAGAAAAAAAAAAAGAATAGCTGTGACAAAATAAAAAAGGCACTTAAAGACATTTCTATAGAAATGGAGAGAGGGGAAAAATTCCTGGAGATAGATGGTACTGATAGCTGTACAACAACATGAATATACTTAGTGCCATTGACGTGTACACATAAAAATGGTTAAAATAATAAATTTTGTTATATATATGTTACCATAACAAAAAAAATCTGTAATGTTTTTCTAAAATGCAGATATTACACTCATTTTTCATATCTAAGTCATTGTAAAATTTATTTTGGGGGTTAAAAAGACAAAAATTTCAATTTGGAGTTGATCAGTCAGAGAAAGTAATTAATGGACCATCAACTATTTATTGAATACCTCTGGATTGGTGGGCTTGTAATTATTACCTAGAATATAGAAACGTATCTGCTAGGATATAAAAATGCAATATGAAAAACTGCCATTTCTTTCCCAAAAGTTAGAAGTTACCAAGATCAACTGCTTCTCCATTATTTCAAATAAAACAAAATCAAAATGAATTTCTAAATGGAAAAAAAAAGTGCATCTTTTATTGTTTATGGTTTAAAACCAACTAACAGAAATATTGCTTCTGGATTAATTATAAGGGATAAAAATGTATACTCTGGGGAGTAATGGTTTCAAAAAGTCTGAGGTGACCGGACCATCTCACTTTCAGATACACCCTTTTGTGAGAGAGTTGTAACTCTGAGCTTTCAATAAATCCTATCACTTTACCATTTCAAAAAAAAAAAGAAAGAAAAAGTCTAAGGTGACCAAAAGCAGTATGTAACAGCAAAAAACATTAACTATAACCAATATATTAAAATATTTATGATAACAATCAGAGTTCACTTAGTTCAAACAAGTTCATCAGGCGTAGAACACAAATGAAGGAATGGGAAAGAACAGGTTTTGAAATTCTAGAACAAAGAAAATCTTTGAATCATTTGTATAATTTAAAGTTTCAATTACTACAGGTTTTACTGGCTGCCCATATTTTTCTAATCTCAATAGCATAAATAAAATTATTTTAAAATTATAATAGAAGTTGGCTCTACTTACTCCTGGTGGAAATATCTGTATAATATTTCCAGCTATGTCTAGGATTCTTAGGTTTCTAAGATCACAAAATCCCTGTGTCAGAAAACAAAAGAGAGATTGACTTTCAAAAACCTCATATGTAGAATCATAAATATTTCTTCTAAGTTCAAACTTGATAGCGTTGATCATCTTTTCTAATTACCTGATCATTCTTCAGTAAATCCTTTCCAAAGATATCTTTATGTCTGGGATTGCCAGATTCTTTGAGTTTTCCATTTCCTCTGACCACTCCAGGGCAACATAACATGGTGGCCAAGAGTTAGACTATTCATAGGTTCACTATTCATAGTAAGTTACACTTACTATGTAACTATGGGTAAATTTTTTAATCTCTTGGTACTTCAATTTCTCCATTTGTAAAATGGAATTGCTAATGGAAGCCCCTACTTCAGTATGATTGTTGAATGTATTAAAGAAGTTACTAAGTTCTTATTAAAGTGCCTAATACATAATAAGCACTCAGCAGACACTATCATTAAAATAGAAATAATCTTTGCGAAACAGAAAATAGATATAATCTTAGAAAGTTGTGTCTATTGACAATTCCACCATCAATTATTTCTCATGTCCCTTTTGCTTAGCACTGAGCTAACAGAACTCTTTCCTTATAAAGAAAAATCTGTTAGTATCTCTAGCTACATGCCCATTGTAACTGGATGGACATATATATTCATATACATGTGCAAACATGCACACAATTTATTATGTACCAGAAAATTTTTCATAACTTGTTCATTATCAAAACAAATGAGTATTTTCTGTAATGCCTTATCATTTATAATGCAAAACAAAAAGAATAATGATCATATTAACTAAATTATATTAAATGTACAAAGACATATTTGATCATAGGTATTCTTTACATGATAATTCAGGATAGAACTTATTTAAATTGTTTAAAGTCTAAACTCCTTGGGATTTATAAAATTGTAGAAAGAGTACTGATCTGACTTTTAAGTTAGACAGACATGGATTTGAGCCCAATCTTTGACCTTTGTGTTCAGGTCACATAGCCTCCCTGTTCTTTATTCTAAAATGGGTATAATAAGAAGAGTTATAATGAATTGTTATGAATACTAAATAATATAATGCTTCATGAAAATGATCATATTACTGCTGTTAAAGCTTTTTCCTTAGATTAAGAACCTATACTTTTAATAAATTTAAAGGTATTTCTTACTTGTTTATAGAAACTAAGATTTTTAAAGAATTTAAGAATAAAATGTTTGAAATATACTTATGTACAGCCTACACTTTGGTATATTTTCACATATCACATTACAATATGAACAAAATATTTCAAGGGAATATATTCCTGAGAGAAAAATTAAACAACAAGAATTGATCTGCTTTTTTATCTCTCAATTTACTATATGACATACATTCCCTTCTATTAAATTAATTCTAATTTGCCTAAAGAAGGAAGGTAAACCCAATTACAGGTTCCCAGCAACAAACAGTACTCTCAAACTGGGAAATTTGAAGAGAGTTTAATAAAGTCACTATTTATAAAAGTTTCACAGGGTTTAGGAAAAACTAAACCATGAAATGTAGTTTCTTAAACCCACAGAATTCCCAAAAGCTATCAATGGCAAGAAGTTCTTTACCATCATTGACCTAAAGAGCCAAGGGGGTGGGGCTAGTAATGGTCTATATGAGGATCATCTGACATTATCTATGGCCTTCTAGAAAAGTATGCAGGAAACTCACAGCACCCTATCAGGCAGACATCAGAGGAATACTATCTGATACTCACTTTCCTTCTGTCCTTTCACCTCCTGCTAGTGCCTCTCATTGGCCATATCCAAGAGGAAGCCAGAGGACAAAGGAGCTCACTGATGCTGATACAGATAAGTCTCCCAGATGAAGAGTAGGTTGGAAAAGAATGGAGAGTGGCTATGAAGGAAAAATGGAAGATATCTAGAACACATACCAAAACCAGAATGTACTACATTTTGTGCTGTATATAGGGTTTCCAGATAAATATAGGAGGCTTAAATTTAAATTTCAAAGAAACAAGGATTTTATTTTTGTATAAATATGTTCTATGCAATATATGGAACATACCTACACTAAAAAATTATTCATTGCTTATCTGAAATTCAAATTTAAGTGAGCATACTGGATTGTTATTTGGCAGCCCTACCTATGTGAAATAATCCAAGTTATAACCCTCCTTTGTCATAAGAATTTGGGAATTAACTATATCTATTCAGATGGAAAGCAAAGGATGGTTTTACTGAGATGCCCAAATCTATAACTCTTCCCGACCATGTTGTAATGAGTTCTTTCCCAACAGAAGAAAATTTGGTTCCATGTTTTGCTTACCTCTGGCAAAACATCAATGTTGTTCCTGACCAGAAGAAGCTTCTGGAGCATCTTCAAGAACTTAATCTCTTCAGGTATGCAAATGAGCTGGTTGTAATTAAGTTGAAGTTCAGAAAGATTCTCAAGGAAACAAAGTTGTCTAGGAATGCTGGCTAGCTGGTTATGATTTATACTCAAACATGTAAGGCTTTTTAATCTAAAAAATAAACAAAGTATATGAATGAAACTCATGAGAATAAGAAAGTCCATTATACAGACACTGCCTATCAGAAGCCATGTGTCAATTTATTTTTTTGTAGTTCATCTGAGCCTTATTTCAGTCAAGTGTTCACAACTACTGTGAATCATTTGAGCATAAAAAATCTTTGTCGTAACTTAACTTTTGAAGATATTTTATAATCAGATGGCTTATGTTAAAAATATATTTTATGTAATCAAAATCTAGATTTAAAAGAAAATTCTACATTCATTCTTTGTACATATACATTCACTAGATTGAAGAGGAAGCAAGAAGATGAAGGAGGATATATAAATACATAAATATACGTATACATATATACATATACATGGATATAAGTATCAGTATATAAATATAGATATATAGATTTATGAATATAGCTACATATTATATATCTTGTACCAAATAGATGTGAGAGCCACTTAGTTCCTGTGGAAAATGAAAAGACGGATCAGACACAAATTCTGCCTTTATGTATACATCATGGACTAGAAGAAGATATGACATAAGGCCATAAAATTAAGACAGAAAATGTCATTGGCTAGGAAGAAAAATATTAAAAATATTTGAGTCTGTAATTGTAAATATGGTACCTGAGGTATATGTCACAAGCATTTTGGAACAATTGACATTTCAACTTGGTTCTGAATAATAAATCTTGTAAAAGTAGGGCAACAAGAAGACATAGTAAGCTGAGAAAATATTAATATTTTTCAGAAACAAATAGAAAGAAATTAGCACTACTGAGCACCAACTATGTACCTGTGTGTTTAATCATCACCATAACCATAAGGTTGGAATTATTACCCCTAATTTAGAAATGAAAAAAAATAAAAGATTGGAGGCAGTAAATATCTCACCCAAATTGCCCATCCAGTAGATGAGTATCAAGATTGGAAATATACAATGATTGGAAATATACAGAGCTATGAATAGAAATATACAATGAATGTGTTGAGATTAACAGAATGAGGTAACATTTTAAAACAATTAAAAGTGGAGAACTGGAAGTTAGGAGAGTGATACTAGTGAAAGGAATTTGGTAGAAGACTATAAGCATGAAAATGGACGCCATGTGAGCTGATAAGACTGACAAGAAGAACAACAACGAAAAGGGTGGAAAAAGGGAGAGAGGAAGCCAATGAAGATTCTTGAAAAATGTGAACATTTGACAATACAAAAATGCATCCAGAGAAGGCATGAGTAGAGAAACAGAAGATGAAGCAGGTTAACAAGGAGCCTACTAAGGTATAGAAAAGTATTTCAAAATTAAAGAGATAGTCAAAGACGTCAACAACATGGCAACATGAGAGGACCTCCATGTCTCTCCCCTTGAAGTTACAAGTCAAACTTCTATAATTCAACAAAGTATTCCCTGCTCAACACACAAACGTTTGAGACAACAGCACATGGAAACATCTGAAGTTGGGCATATCTAAACAAAAAGTGGAAACAAAGAAGAAGGACAGAGACAGAAACTGTGCTGTAGCCCCATATTTGCGACAGACCCAGTGGACACAATAGTAGTAAAAGGCTGAGGTACAGCCCCCACCGGGCAGACCAGACTGGAGAAACAGAGATGACAGTTGGGCCTGGGAAGTTGGCACACACTGAGGTTGGACCAGGATCAAGGGCAGAGAAATAGTGCAAAATAACATAGCTCTCCAAAGCCCGCCAGCAAGGAACAAAGGATTCTGCAGACAGAAAATTTGCCCACCTCATCCCACTGTGGCCCACCAGGCAGCAAGATCCTCTCTTAGCAAATAATGAAAGGGCTGAAAAAAAAAAAAACAAAAAAAACTTTCCAGCCTAAGTAGTCTGTATTCACTGCAACTAAGCCCATGAGGAAGAGCAGAATCTTAAACACTCAAACATACAACCCACCCTCACCCCCAAACCTCTACAACCCTGTTCCCCTCACTTGTCTCTCCCCCACACATACACACACCCATCCTCCAACAATTGTAACACAGTTGGAAGCAGCTGAGTCAACTTGGAGCAGTCCTGCAGGGGTTTCTGACTACTGGAGGGTGGCACCAGGAGCACACAGGAGATCCATAACTCACCTCTTCCAATACATGGGAGTAGTGCCCTGAGACAGAAGCAATTGAGTTGTAAAGAAGACTAGGGAAAATTAAGTGATTTTCACTGCAGAGGTATTGCCATACACAAAGATTAACTCAGAATGTATCAAAACCCTGAAACAATTAAATATCTAGAAGAAAACATGGGTACTAAACTATGAACCTTGGTCTCAGAGAGGTTTTTATGAATTTGACCCCAAAGGCAAGGGAAGTAAAAGCAAAAATAAATGAATGGGACTATATCAAACTAAGAAGCTTCTGCACAGCAAAAGAAAACATCAACAAAACAAAAAGGGAACCAACTGAATGGGAGAAGATATTTGTAAACAAAACCTCCAATAAGGGGCTAATATTCAAAATATATAAAGACTTTATACAACTGAACAACAAAAAATGCTAACAATCAAATTTAAAAATGGTCAGAGGACCTGAACAGACACATTCCCAAAGAAGATATACAAATGCTCAACAGACAGTGAAAGATGCTCAACTTCACTAGTTATAAGGGAAAATCAAATCAAAATCACAATAAAGGCCTCTTCGCACCTGTTAGAATGGCTACTGTCAATAAGACAAGAAATAACAAGTGTTGGAGAAGATGTGGAGAAAAAGGAACCCTCATGCACTGCTGGTGGAAATGTAAATTGGAACAGCCACTATGAAAAACAGTATGGAGTTTCCAATTTTCCCAGCTCCATTTATTGAAGAGGCTTTCTTTTCTCCATTACATGTTTTTGGCTCCTTTGTCAAAAATTATTTGGCCACATATATGTTGGTTTATTTCTGTTTCATTTGTCCATGTGTCTATTTTTCTGCCAGTACCATGCTGTTTTGATTTTTGTAGTATAATTTGAAGTCAGAGAGTGTGACTTCACTTACATGTGGGATATAAAACAGAAAGCCACAAATGAACAAATAAAACAAACAAACCCCAAAAAACTCATTAACAGACAACAATATGGTGATTTCCAGAGGGGGAGTATGGGGTAGATGAAGATAGTAAAGGGGGTCAAATATATGGTATCAGAAGAAGACTAAGTTATGAGTGATGAGCACACAATGCAATATGCAGATGATGTATTATAATATTGTACACTTAAAACTCGATTTTATTAACTAATGCCATCTCAGTAAATTTAATTTTTTGAAAGCAAAAAAACAATTTTTAATTTGGGGTAAAGAAAAAAATGGCATAGATGATAGAGGCTCTATTCATCCCTCTGGCGACCAAATCAAAGTTGTGATAGAAACAAGGAGTAGCAGCAGCAGGGAAAAATCGCCTGGAATCTAGAGGAACAAACCATACAACGAGGGAGAAATCCAAGAAAGCACCCTGCAACAGCAGAATGTAGGACAGGGTGAAGACGCAGGCTGCCCGGTCTTGAGCAGCTAAGATGGAGGCTGCAGCAGCGGCAGACGCCTCTTAAAGGGGCCGCATCGGCGGACAGATTTTTGTGGTGACGGAACTGCTCGCTCTGAGCACCAACACCAATTTGGCTGCGTGCAGGGGGGATCAGGGACTTACAGTGAGACATTGTCAGAGTGAGGGCTGAGGTGAGACTTGCACTGTACAGAAGTGCCAGTGGTATCTATTGTTCCCTGTTGAGCCCTCCCTACTCCCAGTGCATGGACTCAGCGCTGCCATAGCCCTGACTTCATCAAACTGGATAACAGAGTTTGCTCTTCCCAGAGGATTCCCTAAAACCTGCCTCCCCCAACTCGAGGTCCCACCCAAGCCACATCCAAGTATATCCTCAGCCAGTTAGGTGCTCCTTGCTGAGCAGCACCTAGACTCACACTGGAGGCAGCTGGCCTCAGTTTCTGGTGTGTCCTTTTGAGGTAACTATAAGCACAGCATCTGTGGATTTCTTCCTGAATATTAACAGGTGGCCCCAGAGGGGTAGAGGCTTGGGCTAAATTTAGCCTGCAGCTGAACCCTCTCAGGACTGTGCCACTGGACAGACACCTACTTCACAAATCCACACTAATAAGACTGGGAGACTTAGGAGCTTTGTTTAGTACATAGAAACAGGCACGGAAAGGCAGCCAAAATGGGAAGACAAAGAAGCAGAAACCATATGAGAGAACAGAACAGAGATCCAGATATAATAGAGTCAAATAATCTAACAGATGCAGAGTTCAAAACACCGGTTATAAAGGTGCTCAATGAACTTTTGGGAAGTGTAGAGAATTTCAACAAAGAAATAAAAAACATAATAATGGAAATGGAAATTACAAAAGGGAACCAGTCTGAAATGTGTTCATTATCTGAGACAAGAAGTATATTAAATGGAATAAAAAAAAAAAGTGAATAAAGAAAAGGATCAAATGCCCTATCTAGATGATGGGAAAGCCAAAGACACACAATCAGAATGGCAAGAGATGAGATGCCAAGACTATAAAAATAATTTAAGGAGCATATGGGGCACTATTAAGCATCCAAATATCCATCTGATTTGCATAACTAAAGAAAATCAAGATGTTAAACAACTGTTTGAAGAAGTAATGATGGAAAACTTCCCTAACCTGGTGAAGGAAATAGACATAAAACCCCAGGAAGCTCAGAGAATTCCAAAAATCAGGTATCCAGAGAGGCCCACACCAAGACATATCATAATTAAAATGCCAAAGGTTAAATACAAAGAAAGAATTTAAAAGCA